TGGTTGCATGTTTAGTTTATTGGGAAGTAGTGAAAGTGTTTTCTAGAGTGCTGTCATAGTATTTTGTTTCCCAAAGCAAAACACGAGGGGCCCCATTTCTTTGCACCTTTGCTAGCAAAGATGTCACTTTTTAATTGTGACCGTTCTGATGGGTATATAGTGAGGGGTCAGTGTATGATGTTGAGCATCTTTTCATGTCATTATTTACTTGCCTTTTTGGAGACATTGAAGCTTTTCTCTATCTGTCTCTCTCCTGATCCCGTCTCTCCCTGGACGCCTGTGACTCCACACTCCGTCTGGGATACATGAGTCAGAAAGAAATCTGGACCTCACCTCCATGTTGCTTCTCAGTCCTGGCCTTCTCCTCCTTGCTTCTGCCTTGTAGAACCTTTTGTTGTTAAATGTTTAATGTGTGAGGTCACCAGACTTTCAGTAGGTCAGAGGGGGAAGAACAGGGAAAAATATTCTGCCTTCTCAGAAACAGAGTCCTCACAGTTGCTATTTAAATGTCTAATGTTTATTAAGAATAGTACATGTATATATTTTTCTTTTTTTTATTACAAAAGTTTATTTTTACATCATTTTGTACATTTTTTTCCATCTCAATTGTAATCCCCACGGGTTTCCCATCACCAAGTCACCCATGTGCCATCACCATAATCCTGTGCATTTCCCTCCCCCCACCCCGTTTTTGATCCCATTCCCCACTCCACCCCCACAAAATGTCTCTGGTATATGGTTGTTCATTATTTTTGTTATTTTCTCGCCTGGTCCATTAAGAATAGTACATGTATATTAAGTCACATTTTGATATAAAGATTTTGTGTAGCATAGAAACCTGTGTGAGGATGCTTTTATCAGACACTGGGATACTACATGTGACTCAGTCACAAATGTGTCCTTATTTTGCTAGTTAGAACATAGCTACACTGCTGTCTGCATCTGATGTTAATACTTTTATGCTTTGGCTTCAGGGTTTGAGATTGAATGTGTATTTCATTGAATTTTTTTTTTTTTTGTCTCTGGTAGTTTGCTGATTTTTTGTTTGTAACCATGGATGGTACTTGATCTTGGCAGATGGCTTTTTTGTTCCCTAAGGGAAAGGTTTGTACTTTTTTTTTTTTTAAGATTTATTTATTTATTTATGCATATAGAAACTGGGGTACAGGCCAGAGCTTCAGGGGCAGTGAGAGGCTTCACCAGAGACAGAGTGGGGGAGCAGAACAGGCAGACTGACTCTAATACACTGCTCAGGGGAGCAGCGGGGAGACGAGAGAAGTCTGCTGCGCCATGTGGGTCAGCTCTCTGGCTGGGGTCAGACTCATGCTGAAGCAGCTGCGGTTAGCTTCCTAGTGCTGTGCTTTGACCAGCAGCGCCACCAGGGATGACCTGGTTATGTACTTTTAATCATGATTCATGTGTGTTCGCTATAGGCACTGTCACTAATGTCACGGATGGAGCGAATGCCTAGCCTGTGGTCAGATCTATGGCCTGCCCTTAGGATTTCCCTATGACCAGGGCTTGTGTAAGTGAACAAGTGCCTTTTCTCTCATATGTATATCCCAGGACAGGCACTTTATGGTTGGTGTGACAGCTCTGAGCCACGAGACCCTCCTAACCTGCTCTCCTCTTAGTTAAGTGGTCTTTCAACATTAGCATGTGTCTTTATCCTCGTGGCCAAGATGGCAGTTAGACATCCAGCCATCATGACTATCTCCAGGCCAGTAGGGAGAAGAGAGGAAGAAGTGGCTGTCTTTAGGGAATGTTCTAGTAGGTCTCACATGATCCTTCAACTCTGGACAATGCAGTATTCATTCAGCTTGCCAAGTCCTCAGGTGAAAATTAAGGCTAGAGTGTGGAGTTAGAGAAGAGCTATGGGAACCGAGGGGCCAGGACGGCAGCTGTCCTGGGTGTTGTGCTCCCTGTGCTGGGAGCCTCGTACCCAGGTTTCCCGTGGAACTGGCACCTGCTGCATCCCTGGTTGCTCTCCAGCCACCTGTGAGGGCCAGGGCAGGTTAGGGTCCCCTCTGCCTTTTCCATTCCTTCTTTCCTGGTGTAGCCCTGGGTCTGTGTCTTCAGTCCGGAGCAGACAGGGCAGCTTAGGTGATGTGAACAGGAGGGCAGGAGTTCCTGAAGCCCTCCCAGAGCTGAGCCCAGCGCAAGTGCATCTCCTCAGGGAGAGCGGGGCCAGGGCCTGGATGGGCATGTGTGGAGAAGGTGAAGGAGGTCAGCACGGCGCTAAGAAAGGGCAGTTTTGCTGGACATGCCCCTGGTGTGCCTCCTTGTGTTGGTGGACGCAGGTGAGATTTAAAAGGAAGCAGGAGAGCCCCTGAACTGCAGTTGAGGTCTGTGGACATGATGCTTAGCCCAGAGAGGTGCCTGGTGCCCTTGTCAGAGCAGCTTCCACGCAGGCTGGCTAGCACCATTTCTCAGACAGGATGGGGCGGACTGTCCACGGAGTGGCCAAGCTGGGGTGTGGCGCCGGGCAGTGTCTGCAGGACACCACACTCTCCTTGTCCTGGAGACCTTTTTTGTGGTGCTTAGGGTACAGGTGCTGCCTCCCTGAGTCCCTAGGTGTCACAGGGCAGCCAGAACATTCAGGGTTGCTGATGCTGCCTGACATGGGGGCTGTGTGGGAGTATGAGAAGCTGTGCTGTGCTCCCTGGGTGCTTTCCCCAGATGGCCTGTGCTGTCCAGCTGCTCCTGCTTTTGTGATTTGCACCTCAGAGAGGTGACATTTTCCAGAGGCCTCCAGGTGTGTCTGCACTGCTGACTCTGCTTCTGGTCTCGTGAAGCAGAGACCAGAGTAAGCACCCCGCCCAGGTTCCCTCCACCTCTACTATAGCTGGGCTTTTGCTATTGCCCTTATCCATAGGCCATATCCTCGTAAACCCCTTCACTAAGGGAGGGGAGCAGTGTCCCCTGATCAGGCTCAAGCTGCACACCAGTGCCCACATGCTGTGTGGCGGGGTCTCGGCCTTTGTCCCTGAGGCTTGTCCCTGCATGTTCTGTGTCAGAGTCCACGCATGTGGCCAGGTCTTGGAAGGTCCTCTTTGTGTGACCTTATGTGGTGTGGTCATAGACATCTGTGCTGTTGCAGGACCCTCCTCTGTGTTGGGGCTTGTCCAGCAGGAACTGCATGGGGCCACAGCAAGTGGACCTTCACTGTAGTGCCAGACTTCACGCAGGCCCTGCAGCTGAGGCCTTGTGTTCTGTGGCTGGGATCAAGGCAGCCTTGCCTGATTGTGCACACTGGCTCCCCCTGTGTCAGGCGGGAGTGCACCTGGCCTGCTGCCTCAGAAGTTTATTTATTTTTTTAAAGATTGATTTTATTTATGCATACAAGTACTGGGGTACAGGCCAGAGGTGTGGGGGTGGTGGCGAGAGGATTCACCAGAGACAGAGTGGGGAGTAGAACAGGCAGATCAACTGAAATGCCTTGCTGAGGGGAGCAGCAGGCAGGCCAGGAGCGGTCTGCTGTGCCATGTGGGTTACCCTCCCTGGCTGGGGATCGAACTTGTGCTTCAGTGGCTACAGGTGGCTTCATAGTGCTGAGTTTTAACCCCTTGTGCCACCAGGGCGGGCTCTGTGTCAGAAGTTCAAGTGGAGACATATTAAATGCACTCTCCCATCTTAAAATCTATTTGAATTCTGAAACCAAAGGGGGTGAAATCTGCTGGGCTTTCAGGATCTGCAAGACTGTTGTCACTGTTGCCATTGTCCTCCTGAGGATCTCACCAGCATTGGGGCTGCTCCCAGTCATGGATGTGGCCTCAACACTGCAGCTGGCCTCCCTGCTCCATGCAGGCAGAGACATGCCAGAGGCCAGATGCCTTCCTCTTCAGAAGGGGCAGGCAGTAGACCCAGGGAGGATCCTGGGGACTGCCAGATGGGGCTGAACGAGGCAGGGGCTGCTTCTCCACTTCCTGCTTGCCCTGTCTTGCCTTGACCAATAGGATGTCCTCCTTAGCTTTCTCTGGTATCTGAACGTCATTCCTTTGTTTCTTTTCCAGGAGTGTGAGAAGGAGAGAGAGAGGCACCGAGGAGGCATGGGGCTTGCCCTGTTTCTGGAACATGGGCTCTCAACATGGTTATGGCCAGCTGGTGCAGGGTGGTAGGATCAAGAGCAGAAAAGGCAGGAGGAGAAACTGAGTCTTGGCTTAGGCCCAGGAGGGGTGCAGAAGTCTCCAGGGTAGGGTGTTCTAGCTCTTTTTTTTTTTTTTTAAAGATTAAAACATACAGAACTGGGGTACAGGCCAGAGGTGCATGAGATGAGAGTATTCGCCATAGACAGAGTGGGGAGCAGAACAGGAATATTGACTGAAATATACTGCTGAGGGGAGCAGCGGGTGGGTCAGGAGAGGTCTGCTGTGCCATGTGGGTCACCCGCCCTGGTTGGGGATCAAACTCGTGCTGCAGTAGTTATGATAGCATCATAGTGCTGTGCTTTAACCCATTGTGCTACCAGGGAGGACCCTCTAGCTCCTTCTGCAGTAAAGCTCACGTTTATTCCATCCTTTGGGGGTGAGGGAAAGGTCTGGCCCACGTGTGTCAGGGAGAAACCAAGCTAGCAGAAAATGTCACTTTGTCTCCAAGATTACTTGTTTCTGTAAAAACAAGGGAACCATGGCTGTGTCAGAGAATAGGGGCTTTTGTCGACCATCAGGGAGTCTCTCTAGGACTGGTGTTGTGCCACGGGGTGAGGAGTGCGGCCAGTGATGGGGGAGTGAAAGGATCAGTGAAGGGCGCTGTGGACTGGGGTGTTTGGAGGCTGTCCTGGTGTTTGTGAAGCAGTGACAGTGCCAGCCTGGGCATGACCACAGGACTCCTGGGACTGGGCCTGGCCTGTAGGACTGGGTCACAGGTCAGCTGCTTTGAGGGAGGTGTGCAGCCTCGAAGAGGACAGCGCCTCAGTGTCAGCATCTTCGGGGTAGGTGGGTTGAGAACACCGAGTAGGCCCTGCCATATCACGCAGGCCTGTCTCCCATTTCTCTGTCCAGGAGCGGCTGCTCATGAGTCTCCTGCCCCGGAACGTCGCCATGGAGATGAAGGAGGACTTCCTGAAGCCCCCTGAGAGGATTTTCCACAAGATTTACATCCAGAGGCATGACAATGTCAGGTAGGGCTTGCACTGGCCCGGTGGTGGACCTGGGGGGCTGAGGAGGGAGATGATGGTGTAGGTCAAGTGATGGAGGTTTAGGGGAGGTGCTGGTGGGGTTTGGGGGGGTGACGAAGGATATAGAGGGGTCATGGAGGAGATGATAAAGGAGGTGAGACGTTATGGAGGAGGTGATAGTGCAGGTGGGAGGTGATGCTGTGGGTGAAGTGATGGAGGAGATAGAAGGTGAAGGAGTAGGTGTGAAGAGGTGGAGGAGGTGGGGGTGGAGGAGGAGGTGATAAAGTGGTGGGTGATGGTGGAAGCGGAGGTGATGGAGGAGGTAGGAGTTAACAAAGAGATGGGGTGATGAAGGACATAGGGGGTGAAGATAGAGATGGGAAGTGATGGAAGAGGCGTCGGGTGAAGTGGGGGTGATTATGGAGTAGGAGGTGATGGAGGAGGTGGTGGCTGAGGAGGAAATGGAGGGTGATGGCAGCGGTGGGTGGCCATGGTGGATGTGGGCAGACGGCCCTAGCCGGGTGGGGAGTGGGGGGCCGGTCCTGGATCTGGAGTCACGAGGGAGCGCCTGGCCCGCAGGGAGGCAGGTCTCCACGGGAAGCTGGGGCTGGTGCTTCTCAGTCATGCGCGTCACGGCTCCCTTTCCCAGTTTCTCATGTTGGCTCATCTTCTACCTGCTTTGGCTGGAATCTCCCTAAAACGGGTTTGGGCAGTGGCGTTTTGGCCAGGGATTTGCCTAGATCCGGTTCACAGCTGAACATAGTTCCAAGTGCTGCCAGGTTTGGGGTGGGCCTTTTCTTCTGCACTCTTCAGCTCAGAAGAGCCTTGAGGGTAGGAACTGCTACTGCCATTTGTCAGGGTAGCTAACTGAGCCCCCTGGACACTCTGAGAATTGCTTGCTTGTTTTTAAAAATGTTAAAATGTACTTTATTAAATTGTGCATTCACTTTACAAGTACTCAGAATAGTCGAGTGTTGCCTCTTTGGGATCAACCCTCACATGATGCTGCTCAGGTAGAAGACGGCGGTTTGAAGGACTGGTGTGTTCTCCTCTCTGTTGTCCTTTGCTGTCTTTCTGGGTTGTTAGTGTCAGGCCTCCCTGCCTACTGGCACAGTAACTGATACGAGTAACCTTGTTCTGTCTGTGTTGAGCGCTGCAGGCTGAGGTCCCTGAGATGCAGTGCTTGTTCATTTGAAATGAGCCCAAGACTGCTGGTGCCATCACCATGAGTGAAAAGCACAGCTTACTCAGTGTGGTGGGTGCAGTCACTCACCTTCCTGCCCTGGTGAGGACCATTGTGCCCTGCACCTGCAGAGGGGGCACGCTGGAGCTGAGTGGGGTGAGTGGCCTAGTGTGTGGGGCCAGTGTTAGTGTCCAGGAAGGGTGACCCTTTCTGCTTTGGACACTTCCATTTAATGTCAATACACCCTTATGACTCCTGCCTCCAGTTATAGGTGAGGAAATAGAGGTCCAGGCTAGTGAGGCAAATGTACAGGACTCCCTGGCCAGTGGATGGTAAGACTGGGGCTGCATCCAGGGTTGACCAATGCTAATGTCCCCTAGATTGTTCCCTTTTGCCCACTGTCTGTCCCTCTTAAGTAAGGACATGATGTGTGATCCCAGCCCTTGCTGAGAAATAGATTCCCAGAACAATCCAAGGAGCACCTTGAGGGAGGAGGGTCTAAACACAGCAGAGAAGGCATCAGACATCATCTGGGACAGCAGGTGTGTTAAGGGGAAGGATGTCCTAAAGGAACTCTGCAGAGTCTTATGGACTCCACCCCCTACTCCAGCTTTCTGTACCCTACACCCTACTCCAGTGATTGGAAACTACAACTCCCAGCAGTACCAGGGAGAGAACTGTGAGGACCCAAGGGTGGAGCTAGCAGGAATTCTGGGACATTTGGGGGATAAATAGGGCACGATTGCATTTCGTGCTCTCTCGCTTGGGAAACGGCCCTCCGGACTGCGTGACTTGGTGTGTTCAGTCAGCCTAGCCCTAAGGTATTCCAGATACTTTGTATCCTGCTCTCTTTCCCTGGGTTGTTTCCTATTCCTTTTCCCTTCTGTAAATAAACCTGTTATTGACCCTTTTGTGTGTACCTGCAGTGTAACTGAATTGTGAGTGCACAGGTGAGACCCCACAAACAAGCAGCTCAGTCCACTCTGGGCTACCCTGTAACAGGTGAAGCTGGGCATGGTGTAAGCTTCCCAGGTATATTTTCCTCCCACTTCCCTGACCTAATCCGGCAAATACAGATGTGGAGAATCACCGTTCCTTCACTGCTGAAAAGTTTCCATCCATGTCCCTTCGTGGGTGCCATGTTTCTAGCAGCCAGTGGGTTGAGAGCTGGGGCATACAGGACAGCTGATGGGAAGTGGGAGTGGGAAGCTGAAGCTGATGGGAAGTGGGAGTGGGAAGCTGAAGCTGATGGGAAGTGGGAGTGGGAAGCTGAAGCTGATGGGAAGTGGGAGTGGGGAGCTGAAGCTCTTGAGCAGAAATGGCCCCAGAGGAACCCTCGCTCCGCCAGCAGGGCCAGAGATGTCTTTCTGTATCAGAATATGTGAACATCGCATGGCCCTCTCTACCATCCATTATACTGGGCCAAACTCAGGATACCATTTACAGCTCATACCAAGATGATGTCATTGGGAATGTGGCGTAAGGACATCAAAACATCCTTCTCATAGCTCTAGAAATTCCCTGGAAAACACCACTCTTTATTGACCTGACTCAAAGCTCAGTGTGAACAGCCTTTATCCTGGGACATTTGTTGAAAACGATCAGTGGCAGATGTTCAGAATCATAGCTCCCTTAGGTAGTAATAACAGTTGAGCCAAAGAGCAAAGTAATCAAAACTCTTGAAAAATTGGGGAATGAGATTCCATCAGCTGCTTTGAAGGGCTCAGGGGATATTTCTGGGAATCAGCAGACCATGCATGAATCTATGTGCGTGCTCAGGAAGACCTGGACAGTCCTGAGCTCTTTCCTCTGTCCCCCTCCTTCCTTCCCTTCCTTCTTTGGATAATTCCAGGGCATGGTCTGAAGGTCTGCCCACCCCCCAACCCTCAGAGCTTGGCTGCATCAGGGAAGTAGATGGCCAGCCTCCTGCCAGATTCCGAGCTTTCCAAATCATTGCTTTGCCATGTCTGACTGTGCCTTCTGGCTCTGAGTCTTCTCCTGAACTATGAGCTCCTAAGCAGGCCCTGGCATGTAAGAGACCCTCTGCACAAGCTTGCTGGGGCCCTCCTGGGGAGGAAATTTCCCATAGTGTGTTCAGGGAAAAGCCAGGATACGGCGAATGCTCAGCTCTTCCTAGCATGAGAGTGGGTAAGGCTATCTTGTTGGTGGGACTAAATGAAAGACCAGAGACTGAGAGGCCAGTGGATAGAGAAAAGCACATATGTGAATTATCAATTAAGAGAAGGAAACATGGTGCATGAGTCTATATTTTATAATAGAATAGAAGAAAAAAAATACTTGTCCTGTTGCGCCTCCCACCCACACTCACAAACAGTCTTTGTGGCGCTCAGCTTCTCTGTATCAGTTACATAATCTCCTGGACACCTGCTTTGATTCATTTGTTCACTCATTCACTAATCAGAACAAAGACACTTCTCTCTTACTGTGTGCTAGGTGCTGTGAGATAGACAAGTGAGAGCCTGTGTCCTCAAGCCCCCAGGGTCTCACGGTGTGTGCAGTTGGGGTTATAGTAGGACATGAGACTTGTCATGGGATTGACACAGCAGCTCTTTGTACATGAGCAGGGAGAGGTTAATGGGTGGTAGGGTGAGGGCGTCATTAGGCTTGGGCCTTTCCATCATGTGGGCCCCCCTTTTTGCCTGTAACGGGATCCCCACTTCCTGGCAGGAGGGTCTTGTTGAAAATGCAGACCTGAATTCAGACCTGGCATCAGGTTTCAAGATCTGAACACAGTTGTGTGAAAAGGGAAAATACTGAACATCCTGTTATTCACTGCACTAGAGATGCGTGTTCAAGCCTGGCTTCTCTTTCTGTGCATCGACATTATAATTGCCCAAATTTCATAACTGAAGATGCTTTTGACTGCAGGTTGTAAAAATAGCAGGCCTGTTAACATCTTCAGGACGAGGAGCTCTGTGTCTCCTGGGACTAGCGGCCTGGAGGGAAACTGTGGGTGGCTGCCTGTGGTCAGGCCATGGTCTCCTCTATGGAGAGAACTTTGGAGAACCTTCTTGTCCCAAGAGGGGCTCTGCTCAAGCTTCCCTCGTCCCTCACCTGTGTGGGGCTACAGGCTGCTTGGAGGACTCTTCAGGAGGACCCCACCTGCTCCCAATTGGCGGGCTGTGCGGGTTCTCCATTCTGCACGCTGCAGCCTAGCTCCGTGTTTGCTATTTCAGACTTTTGACATCTTGGTTGTGTTTGGAAGTATGGTTGTGTGCTCTGCACAGACCCAGGATCTGCAGTAAGTGGACACCCAACATATAGAGGCTTTGATTCAAGAGAAGTATGCTCCCAAGCCCCAGAACAGACCAAGGGGAGGCCCCTCACAGTGTATCAATTGCTCTGAGGCTCTGACAGCTCTTTCTGCCCCCGAGCTGCCTGGGAGACAGGAGGGTGAGAGGCCCACTTTCTTCTTAAAATTACATCACATCTGTTCATGTTTCCCTAGCCACAACCCTGTCATCGGACTACCCTGGGAAGGGGAGCAGGTCTATGTATGTCAAGATGGCCCTCCACATCCAGGGGACAGAAAGTATATTGATGGCACCTAGCAAATGCTGAGTGGATCCCTCATTTCCTGGGGCGAATCAGCATGGGGTGACCAAGCTGCTCTCCCATGTCCTGGGAGAGGTCAACAGGAACCTTCAGCGAGTACTCTCTCTGTCACCAAGGCTTGTTCCAGCCTCACCCGTTCCTAGAGTAAAGTGGGAACAACCCAGCTTCCCTTTTGCCTGCCTTGGGGGGTAATTAGGGTGATTTATCTTAAGGTGCATTTAGAGGTGAACACCCACATGACCTGGGCAGGGGGGTGGGGGTCGTAACCTATGTGAGTGGCTGGAGCTGTGTGTGTGTGGAAGAGGCAGCTGGCACCCCTTTCTCTTGCAGCATCCTCTTTGCTGACATCGTGGGCTTCACTGGCTTGGCGTCCCAGTGCACGGCTCAGGAGCTGGTGAAACTCCTCAACGAGCTCTTCGGCAAGTTTGATGAATTGGCCACGGTAAGTGCAGCCTCTCCCTCTGTTGCAACGTACGTTAGGTTGCTTTTGGGTGGTTGTGCCAAGTGCATTCCCTTGACGGAGACATGAACTAGACTGATTGTGAAGTGGTTTTGCCTAACAAGGCTCTAGATCAACCAGCATCTCAGCCTCACTCTTTGATTTGTTTTGTGGGACCTGAATATTGCATCTGCCAGATGAGAAACACTTTGCAACTGGCACAGCCTGGCGTTTCCAAGAAAGGGCGAGAGGCAGGAGGCACTGGCTTTGCTATGAGGCCCTGCATGAGTATATGAATCTGCCTATGGGCTGCCTGTTGCCTTCTGCCCCCATTGCCATTGGGCGCCTCACCAAGGCAGCCTTGGTGGAAGGCTCTGGAGCAGACCCTTGCTCTGGGCCTGCCACTTGCATATTGGAAAGTCGCCAGCTGGGGCCAGCTGAAGAGAGCCAGGCCCCCCTCACTGCAGCAGGCTTAGCCCTGGCCTTTTAAAGACCTTTGTGGGACAGGTCACATCTGAGTGGTGCCGAGGTCCAACTCAGGCTAGGCAAAGAGCCTCTTCTTATAGTTGCTGTCTGCCTGTGTCTCCCTGGACCTCAGGGTCTGCCTTCCCTGTCCTGTGAGGACTGGGAGACAGAAGGACACGGACCAGGCTCACCTTCATGCAGCCTCCCTAGGTAGATGTGGAGGAAACCTGCTGGGTAGTTATTGGAGGAGGGGAGAGAGGGAGTGGCAAACTGTGCAGTCAGAGCTGGGCCTGGCTTATGCGGCAGGCACTGGGAGGTTCTGTGTGCTTGCAGGGCTGGGTGAGGGGGTGCCGAGTGGGCTGCAGACTTGGACTGGCCCCCGAATTTGCCCTTGACCAGCAGATGGAGTGAGCTGTGGTCATGGTGGACTTGGCTGGCCAGGTTGGCTGTTCTGAGTGCTTTGGCGAACGAGTGTAAAGTGAGAACACCTGATAGCCTGCCTCAGTCACCTGGGCCACACCTGGGGTAGGCAAAAAGCGATGTAGGACAGGGACATGCAAGATCATGGACAGTACTTCCTCTGGAGATTCCTTGTGGGGACTGTTCGGGTCCTGAGAAGTCCAGTTGCTTGCTCTGCAGACGGATCATGTGGTGGAACCCTTCGTTGCTTGGCAACCCATTGAGAGCCTGGGTCAGGGGCCCTGCAGGACCCTGTTTGAAAAAGGTTTCGTCTGTCCTGAGGATGGAATGTAGGATGCTCCACTTGGTGCAGGCGCTCCTCTGGGCACGATGATGTGTCATGGGTGAGGAGAGAGCTCTTGGCCGGGCCCCGGCAGCCTTGTCCAGCAGTCATTGAGCTTGTCTCCCAGGAGCAGCTTTGGTTGAGTCCACACAGATATCACCTCCCCTCCCTGGGAGAAGGTCCCCTGGACCGCCTTCCCCCCAGAGATGCCCCGTGTTCTGGGAGAAGCATGAGGAGGAGCAGAGGTGTGTGTGTGGCCTGTGCCACAGGTGTAGCTTGTGGCGGGTGGGGGCAGCTTTTTCTGCTTTTTTGGTTCAGTTTAGTAAGTTTGTCCTCTGTAGATGGGGCTGGTGCAGTGCTCCCTGGAGCATTCTGGGCCTGCTTTCCTGGTGGGGTAGGGTGAGGGGGGTGGGGGAGGGACTTAGTGGTCCCCATCTCCCTCTGTCTCTATCTCCCTCTTTACATCCCTCTTTGCAAACATTTTCTCCTCAACTTTGGCCTCTTTGTTTTCTTAACACTGTTGTATGAAGAGCAGGCATTTTTAGTCTTCATGAAGTCCATTGGTCATTGTCTTTTTTTATGGGCCGGAATGCTATTGCTATTGTAGCTAGAAATGTGTTTGCCCAACCAAACATTTTTGGTGTGACAGGGAAGGTGGGAGCTGGGTGTCGGCTTTGGGGTGGTGGTGACGCAGCCTGGGCCCAGGGCGACTCAGTCTACATTCCCACCACACGGGCGTCAAATGCGTGAGAATGTGTGCTCCTCTGTTTTCTCGTCGAAGTGTTACAGTTTTAGGGATTACGTGTTGAGATTTAGAGGTGGCTCTGTGGACTAGCTCTGTAAAGCGACTGCGAAGCCCCTTCATCCTCACTCACTTGACACCCATGTGGCAGAACACATGGACGGAGTCGTCCTGGGCCCGGGCTGCGTCACCACCTTCCCTGATGGATGGGAGGTGCGAAAGCTGACATGAAGCTCCCACCCTCCCCTCTACACTAAGGGCCACTCCCTGCTCAGCGCACCTTTCCCTTTGCTGCCTGGTCTTTGGGGCTGTGGGTTTGGAGAAGAGGATGTGGTCTTTCTCCTTGGGTTTGTGAAGTCCTGTAACTGCTACTGTTCCAAGAGCTTTGCATGCTGCTGTTCTCACATCCATGAGCCTCTGTGGGGCCTACAGGTGTGGAGCGGGACCGACTTTGGCTCCTTGCACACAGGGCTCCCAGCTGTGTGTACATGGGTGGGGGAGGGGAAGGTGACCCAAGGAGGACAGTGAGGCAGGCATCAGGGCCACCATTTAAGTACTGCCCTGAGTGCTCTGGCATATAGAAGGAGATGGCCAGGAGGGCGTCTGAACTGTAAAGCCCACCCAGTAGGCGGTTAGTGTAGGGACAGTTGGCTTTTCTGGAACTTGGCCTAATGCGATGGCCCGAAGGGCTTTGGGCCCTTCCCAGGGCTTTGTGCCATGAGAACATAAAATATAGTTGTGGGTAAATTAATCAGTAGAGCCCAGAGCCCTAGGAGGCCAGAGTCAGTTTCATATTTTTGTGACTAATGTGATGGTTTGGGTAGTTTTTCCTACAAAGTCAGATTATGTTAGAAAAATAAAACAAGATCATTATACATTTTGGAAAATTCTAAGATATGTTTTGGAAGAAATGTTTTGGGCACACTAATTACAGCTTTCCACGCACCAATTCTCCAAGGCTTCCTGGAACTTGGAGAATTGGTGCAGGATTTCAGCGTGGTCTGTGGGGAGAGGTGGACTCAGGAGAGGAGTGCCCCACCTCCCCCAACTGACCAAAGGTGTGGAGACTGAGGAGCAGGGGACATAAACCCACTTTGTCTCACCATCTTCCACACCTTAAATCCCTAATAAATAAAGCAACAGTCCAGAAATCAGTTTTTCTAGATAGGACCTGAAGCGTCCAGGTGAGTTCAAGTGTGAGGTCATTGAGTCATGGACAGGAGGAAGCCGGAATTTTCTACTGTTGCCTGAGAAACTGACAACTCCATGACCATGGGCTGCCATCGCAGATGATCCTCTGGGCTCTGCTGGGTGGTTTTCAGTTGGTGGCTCCACTGGGCTCTCCATCCTGCGCCACTGGGCTGAGTGTCTGCAGTGGTTCGCTCATGAAGATGGCGGTGGCAGTGGCTATGGCTGGGTCTTCCCCAGGATCTTCTGGCCGTCTGGGGCTGGAGCATGCTGCCTGCTGCCTTTCCCTACTTGTGCTTGTCCTGGCAGGGACTACAGAGGTGGGAGAGGATAATGGGGCCTTGTCCAGGGAGCAGACTGGCTGTGATCAGTCTTCAGAGCAAGTATGAGCTGGGGGCTGCCCCGTGTCTTCCTTCCTCATTAGCTCAAAATCAGCTGTGGCCCATCTTGTTAGCACCATCTTCCTTTGGTAAAACAGTTGTTGGGGGGCTCCTGCAAGTGCCAGCTCAATTATTATGGTGTGTCCCCTGGCCAAGGTGGGACTTCTGGGGTCCAGTTCTGCTTTCCCTTCTGTCTGCACCATTTTGCAGGGTGGGGAGGTCTCAGCCTATCTGCTCACATCACACACATGTTCCAAAACTCTCCTCAAATTGTAAGATTTGATGTTTCCTTTATCCTCTTCTTCATCTTCTAATTCTGTAAAACATATTCCCAGGAATTTTATTCTTTTTGATGCAATTATAAATGGAATTTCTTAATTTCTTTTATAGTTCATTAGGAATGTATAGAAACACAATTTTTTTATTACTTAAAAAAAATAAAATAGTTTATCTTTACATCATTGTGTGCATTTTCCCCTCTCAATTATAATCCTCCTTGGGCTTCCCATCACCAGATCACCCATGTGTCATCACCAAAGTCCAATACATTTCCTTCCCCCCACTGTTTTTGATCCCATTCCCCACTCCACCCCCATAAATTGTCTCTGGTATATATAACTGTCCATCATTATTATTATTATTTTCTTGCGTGGTCCATTATACTATTGCTATGAGTGAAACCATCAATATTTTTCCTTTTTTTTTCTGGCTTATTTCACTAAGCATGATCTTTTCCAGCTCCATCCATGTTGCTGCAAAAGGCATGGAAACACAAATCATTTTTATGTATTAATTTTGCAGCTTTTGCAACTTTGCTAAATTTTCAGTTATAGTTTTGTGTGTGTGTGTGTGTGTGTGTGTGTGTGTGTGAAGTCTTTAGGGTTTTCTTTAGATTATACCATGCCATCTGCAAATCAAGACAAGTTTACCTCTTCCTACCAGATTTGGCTGTCTTTTATTTTTCTGGCCCCATTGCTTTGACTGGGACTTCTAGTACTATGTTGAATAGGAGAAGCTTGAGTGGGTATCCTTGTATTGCTTCTGATCTTAGAGGAAATTTTCTAGCTTTTCATTGTTAAGTCTAACTTTTGCTGTGGATTTGTTGTATATGTCCTTTATTATGTTGGGGTACATTCTCTTTGTACCTACATTGTTGATTTTTTTCATGACTGCATTTGAGTTTTGTCAGATGCTTTCTCTGCATCTATTGAATAGATCATATGATTTTTATGTTTCACTTTATATTTTGTGTATCACACTGATTGAATTTAAGATGTTGAAGCATCTACTTGCTGCATCCCTGGAATAAATCTTACTTGATTGTATGATCCGTTGGATGTATTGTTGAGTTTGGTATGCTAATATTTTGTGGAGAATTTTTATGTCTCCGTTCATCATGGATATTGGTCTGTAATTTTCTATCCTCGTGACTTGCTTATCGATTTTTGATATGGGATTAATTGGCCTCTTTTTTGAGAAGAATTTC